AAGACAAATGTAAAATTTAATGGATAATTTACAACAATCTTCAGATCGTAAAATTTGATTTCTATTATTTTTAATGGCTTGGCTATTCTTCTAGTACTCAAGAATGTTCTGATCGATTATAAATGTTCATGACTTCATCCACACATTTAGAAACTCCTCATCAATTTTTCAGCCCAGATTTTCTCTCCTAGACAATTCTCTGGGCTTTACCCCTTCCCAGTGTCCTCTCTCCCTCCTCCTGGTACCCACTTCTAACTCCGTCTTCCAGTGCACTCATGATGGTGTTGCCTTTTCACTTGCATACACGAGATTGAGTGAAAAACGCTATAAAATATCAATGTGATTTTTTTCTTTAAATAAAAATTTACTGTTCAAACAGTTTTCATGTTTTGGTAATATTGCAATAATTAAAGTTTAAATGAAGTGATTAGTTTCAGGTCATAAAACCAAAGTATTTAGCACTGAATTTCCAAATGTGTCCTGTCTAAATTATTGTTAAGTCAGTGCTAGCCTTTGTTATAATTATCTTCTGACACTATCATATTGATGGCATCACTGAATACCCATATAAATAACAGTGTAAGAGACAAAGAAAGATATAAGGAAGAGATAAATGAAAATGAATGCCCATTAACAGTGCAATTTATACCTGTGGTGTATTAGCAGAAGTTTTTTTTTTTTTTTTTTTTTTAAAGATTATTGGTTTTTTAAATGGATTTTTTAAATGTCTGATTATTTTAACCAAATGTTATTCTAAGAACATTCTTGAATATAATGTCATTACAGATAAAAAGATTTTGTTAAACAAATAATGGCTCTTTACAAGCACTGCAAATTGATGGCAAACTAAGTAACTTCTCTAAATCAAATTTTTATGCTTTGTACGTATGTGTTTTATACATAATAATAAATTCAATATCCCTAATAACATTTCATAGAAGACATATGAAAATCCATCAGCCAGATGGACTATGATAGTTATCTCCGTATCTATCAAAATAGCTTTATTTAACCTACAAAACAATTTTATCTCTGATTTTATCTCCTACCATTAATATAATTCTCCCAATTTTAGAAATGTAAGATATTATTATTATATTAAAGGTTTCAGAAATAAAACCTCATTGTCAGCATAATAAACAAATAAAGTAAGGGTAGAGAAAAGGGAAACATGTCTATTATTTGAATTATTGTAATAGACATTCAGTGGTTTTATTCTAGATGTACTCTAAGTAGGCAAGACTGAAGAATAAACGCTTAAGAATCATGAAGTTCCAAAAACAAGAATAAAAGACATACATTTTACTGTATTGAGCTTAATAATAGTTTAAAGGAAATAGCTGTCAAGAATTTCTCTGATTTCTGGCTAATTTCACTTTATTTTAGACTGTGGATTATATATTTTCATATTTTCAAAAATCTACATGGTTCATAGGAAGGTAACATTGCAAACAAACCTGAGATAGCAGAGATGTGTGGAAAAAAAAGAGGCATGTAGCGAATAAGGAGTAGGAAATGCCGTATTAGATAAAATAAAAGCAATACACAACAGCAAGAGAAACTGGGACAAAGACATTCTCAATGATAAGAAACAAAATACATAATTCTGTATACAGAAATCCTTTGAGTTGTGTAAAAATTAATGGCTTATATTTTTCGTTGCAATGCCTTAAGTCCTGATGGAAGTAATCTGTTCACTTTAACTTCTCAAGTAAACCTCAGTGGGTCAGTACTGGTTCTCTTTTCAATACCTTCTTCTTCAGTGGGCAAAATGGCACTGTATAGATGTTGGATTCCATGAATTCCCAAAAAGTAGAAGCCAAACATTTTTTACATGTATTCTGAAGGCTCTCTGTGGACAGTTTATTTAAAATGTACAAACAAGACACTAAAATGTTTTATGCCTGCCTGTGAAATCGTTGAAATAATGAAATTTTCCCTATATTTTACTTTCTCTTTTCCATCTACCCTCTCTTTTCTCTATATCTGTTTTGCTTCTCTTTGTGTTGAAAAAAGTCATAATTGCAAAACTGAAGTATTATTAAGGCTTGTTTTAAATAGCTGCCTGGGAAATAAATTAGCCCCTAGTCTCACACAGTAATAATGTCAGTAAATGAGAGTTTCCAGTTATGGTGCAGGAAATTAAAGTAATGATGGCCAAAGCTTTAACAAAGTCACAAGAGACTACATATTATTGATTCTATGAAAAGATAGATTTCTACTGTCCAAAAAATGACATCTGTCTCAAAGTAAATGACTAAAATACAAACCAAACAAATTGAATGAGTTCGGTAACGGAAATTTCCAAATACCTAAGGAGAAAAAGTTAATGTAAAACAAAAACATAATTTGGAACTTCAAGAGAGCAAAATGGAACTACTTAACAATATTTGAAATAGTATAAGGTCACAAATAACTATATTATTCAATTTCTTGGTAGGAAAATGCATTGAGCAAAATGTAAAATCCCGTGATCTAGGTGAAATGACTGCTAGCGGGTTTCGTTTTATGTTGATGAAAATATTCTAAAATTAGACCTGGTGATGAATGTATAATACCATGAACATCCTAAAAACAACTGGAGTGTATACTTTAAACTAGTGAGTTTTATGTTATATGTATATATCAAAGTTGTTATCTAAAATAACAAACCTATATCAACCTAACATCCCTCCCCTAAGGTATATTTAGGTGCAATCTCAGATCATGTTTTTGTGCTAATCCTAGTCTATTTCAAAAACGTCACTGGAATGTTCAGAAAAATCATAGACTTGATTACAATTCACAAAGTTAAGATTAAAAAATAATTGTTATTAATATATTTAGACAAATGGTTTTAAATAGCCTGTCACTATACTCAAAGACTTAACAGGAATAAGTCTTCTTTTAATTGTATTGTTGGTGCCTAAAATAGCATATGTCACATATGTGTTTTAACTATGCTCCCAATAATTCTGGCCTCCTCTCCTTGTCGTTCCCTTTTTATGAATCCTCACTTCTGAAAAGCAAGCTGTTTTATTGCCAGCATGTTCAGACTGCTGATTGCCGGTGGAAAGTCATGAAATTTGGCTTATTAACTTCTGTACAAATTGAAGTTATCTAACCTCATCTGAGCTTTCATTGCTGCTTGAAAATCTTTTTATTAATGTCTAATTGGCTCCTTAGCACATTTTCCAGAGTGTTCATTTCAAAGCTTTTCAAATCTGTTCTCTTTAAGTGACCTCACCTATTCACTCAATAGAATCAACATCTTTTACTTGATGGAAAATTTCCTCTGCTTCAAAATTTACCTTTCCTTTCCTTAACTTCACACTCACCTAAAAAATGTGGGGTCATTTTACAATTTCCAAATAAATAAATAAATCCTAGTTTATTTGAAATAACCTGACTTGGCTTATCTCACTTCTGCTACCCACTAGCTCTATAACCACAGGCAATGCAATAAATTTATCTAGTATTTGATTTTCTCACTTGTAAAATTAGTGCCATGGACTTTGCAAATTCTAAGACCACTTTTAGTAATAAATCAAGATTTCTCTAATCTTGTGTTTAGTCCTGTGTCTTTCTATCCCCCAGGGCTTTTCCCTTTCATTTGGCCCATATATTCTATAAGGAATTTTCTCTCCACAAATCTCCTTCTATTAATTTGATTCTTCTCACCCTAGATATGCTTAAGACTTCATCTTTAAAATCTTCCTTCATGATTATCACATAAGTTAATATTTTCACTATTTTTCAATCAACTTACTTCCGGGTGTAAATAACACTCTTACTACCGACTTGTCTCCTCACACCTTCCAATTTGCCTTCTTCTTCCAGTACTTTGCACAAATGGCTGTCACACTATTTGGGAGGCTGAGGCAGGAAGATCACTTGAGCTCAGAAGTTCCAGCAGCCCAGGCAACATAGAGACCCCGCCTCTTAAAAAAAAACGACTTGTTACAGAGGTAATTTTTTTTTTTTTTTGTCTTTTTATAACTTAAACTAATTTTGACATAAAACACCACTGAAGGTAGTTTTCTGTTCTTGTTTTGTTTTGCCTTTTAGAGATGAGGCTTCACTCTGTCATCCAGGCTGGAGTAAGGTGGCATAATCACAGCTCACTGTAATCTTGAAAGCCTGGGCTGAGGGACTCCCCTCCCTCAGCATCCTAAGCAGCTTCATAGGCATGCACCACCGTGTCTGGTCACTGGTGGTGTTCTGAAACACCATCTTGACACTTTCTTCTCACTTCCCTTGAATCCGAATCGCATGGTAATCTTTCTAAGTGTCTGCTTACCTCTTATTTTTTCTCCTGGGGCTATGTTCTAAATACGATTATTCCTCAGATTATTCCTTTCTAATCTTCTTCTAATAAAACTTTGATTTACTCTGGGGATCTCAACTGTTATATGTATGTAGATTAAAAATATATTTTTAGCTGAACTTCATCCTAATATGCTGCACATCTCCATGTATATGTCTTACCAATTTAAAGCTATGTTGAAAACAAAATTCATCACTCTACCTCAATGCCTACCTAGAAAAAAGGATAAAAACACAAGCTGTCCCTGTTCCTATGCTCTTTCTCTTGATGACATAAAAGGTTTTCCAGTGACTCGAACTGACTTGTCAGGAAGTAGAGAAGACACCAGTGTCAGGGGTTACGCCGTCCTGTGCTAGCAGACTAGCAAACAGCTTTTCATGCAGCTAGTTCTTCCTTTGACAAACGTCTTAATTTGCTGAAGAAAAATAAAATTATGATCTCTTTGTAATTATGCAAGGTTATGGTGGTGTGGAAAAATTATGCTGTTTTAAAACAGCATCATGGTAAGTCTCAATGTATTTTCTTTTTTCTTTTTACATCATAACCAAAGTATAACCATGGACGAACATATACAGATTTGCTGCTCCAGTTCCTTCATCTATTGCTGTGAGGTAATATAAAGACTTTAACTTCTAAGAAAATCCAACACTTTTATTTCACCTAGATTTAAAAAGAAAGAAAGCAATAAACTTACACTTTATCTGTTCCATAACTCCTGTAGTCTACTGCAGCTGACACAGCCACAATGAGTGCAGGCATCCCATAGCCAACCAGATAAAAGTATTTCCTACGTGAATGTTCACTCTCAAAAACCTCCACCAGCATGATATAGAGCTGCACTCCCTCCAGAAACATCCAGGTGAAGGCAGCCAAGAAGAAGAAATGTAAGAGGGCAGCGAAAACAGCACAGGCAATCTAGGAAAAGGAACAAATGATTTAGTCAAATCACTACCACATGGAATACTGGTCAACTGCCATAAAACCAAATTAAATATTTACCAAGACTGCATAACAACATGTCTGCAAAATAATAATCCAGAGAAGATTCTTAAAACACAGATATTAGAACTAATATACTTAAATATAACCTATCTTTGAAAACTGCCTTTAACATTAATAATGGCTTATGGATGACAGCATACCATTAGAATAAAAAAATTATAATATTTAGGGAAATTCTAATAAGACCCTATGAATAATTATTCCTGAGATTAACACAAAGATTTAAAAATAGATTTTAAGAATTTTTCTCTTGGCCATAATCATGTGTATACCAGCATACTAAGTTCTTCAACTGTTAATGAAAGAGAAACATTAGAACTAAGGGGAAAATTAAATAGTGTAATTAATTGCAGTCTTTTAATGATGATATTAGAAATTGTTTATTTCATGATGATATTATTAATTATTTGTAATTGTTTGGTTATTACTTCCCAAAAGGATTTAAAGTGGTATTGGAAAATTCATGGTGAACATGATTAAAAATGGATCTGGTTAAAATTAAATGTTCCCAAACTGCTTTCTTTCTCTGAATTTTTGTTATCAAACTAAATATCGATTTAGACAACCTTAGTCAAAAAAGGCAGCCAGCTCTTATTTTTGTATATTTTCTAAACTGTACAATTTTCAGCTGAGCAGCTATCAATTCCTTACTCTCATGTCAATTCCTGAATTCTCATTTCTTTCAGTTCTTCTTCCTTATAGGAAGCTCTGACTTAGCCCGGGGGCAGTGGCTCATGCCTGTAATCCCAGTACTTTGTTGGGAGGCTGAGGCAAGGCAGATCAGGATGTCAGGAGTTTGAGACAAGGCTGGCTAACATGGTGAAACCCCATCTCTACTAAAAATACAAAACATTAGCTGGGTGTGGTGGCAGGTGCCTGTAATTCCAGCTACTCAGGAGGCTGAGGCAGGAGAACCACTTGAACCCGGGAGGTGGAGGTTGCAGAAAGCCAAGACCATGCCACAGCACTCCAGCCTGGGCCATGGAGCTAGACTCCATCTAAAAAAAAAAAAAAAAAAAGGAAGCCCTGACTGAAATCTATAGCTGCTACTAGAAAAGGTCAGCAAACTTATAGAAGTTACCAGAGTAGTATGGATTCATTGATGAGTATGATCCCTATGAAATAAGACAAAAGGGCAGGTCAAATTTTACGTTACAAACATGACATTGAAGGAGAGATCAGAAAGTCCTACATCTGAGGAGCTAGAAAGAAAGCTGGTCCTAAACACTATGTGGAGTGCAGAAAAGGACACCTTGCTAGCAAGGGGAGTGACAAGTTTTGCTGAGCTGCCCTCTACCCATGTTTTCATAGCAATCATTGTTCTTTATATTACTTGTTAGAAATGAGTTTTGTGTGGTATGCAATATTTGGCAGAGTTTTTTATATCATATGTAACATCAGGAAGCAAAAATAAGAATAAAGTTTCTAAATGAAAAGAAATCACACAGCATTTGAATTGCAAGCTAACAAGAGAATAAAATGATACATTCTTGGAAAATAACACAATTTTCCATTTCTTGCTTTTTAGAGTTAGAACTTCAACTATTAATTTTTGTTAAACAAGGCTTTACTTTCTTGAGGAAAGAAATGTGTACTTTGATTGCTTATTCATAGGTATGCATTTATGGGGAAAGCTGTCACATTAGTATATGATACCCAATTAAAAATATAATCACCATAATTGTACCCTTCACAGTCATTAATCATGAATGTGTAATCACAAACATGAATCCAACTGCATTTTTATTGTAAAGTACTCCATACATATGGACACATACCAGAAAGCAGCATTAAGTGAACAAACTATTTATTATGCTCAGAGTCTTCTACAAAATGAAACTTTTATGCTCGTTTGCAGTTTTACTCATGATAACAAATTTGTATCGTGAATAAATCTTAAGCAAACTGAAATTGCCTTCCAAAAATTTTAAGTGGGCATAATGTCTGTGTAATATATTAAGATATTATCTATTATTTATATTTTTTTCTTGGTTTTACTAACACTGGGCTAGTGCTGTTCATTTTTTTTTTCTTTTTCTTTCCCTTTTCCTCTTCCTCCTTTCCTTGATATGACTAAATGTAGGCTGCAATAACGTACAGGGTTGGCACTTAAAGACATGACCAGAACTCATGCAAATATAAAGTGTCAAACAAAATTTGGGAAGAGTTTACATATACTAAAAACAATTTGCAGGTTGTACTGTTTTCCAAAATACGTCAATTGGAAAAACTCGTTTTAGACATGCAGATTTTAAAGTAATATCGGCTGATTTTAAGGAAATTCTATTTATTAGAAAAAAGATATTTTTTCATTTTCTATATAATTTTACCAAGGCTTCCTCAACATTGAACTCTGTGGTTAAAACAAAAGAAAAAAATAATGACAATATGTAGTTCCTTAGAAAGACAAGTTATGAAATAATTTCTGAAGAAACGTATATCTTATTTATTGGTAATGGGAACACAAAATGGTACAGCAACTTTGGAAGACAATTTGTCAGTTTCTTTAAAAACTAAATACATTCTTACCATGCGGCCCACAAATTGTGCTCCCTGGTTTTATCCTAAAGAGTTAAAAACATATGTCCACACAAAAACCTGCACACGAATTTCACAGCAGCTTTCTTCATAATTGACAAAAAGCGTAATTGACATCTTGGGAAGCAGCCAAGGTGTTCTTCAGTTAAGTGAGTAGATCAGACAATGGTGGTACATCAGACAATGGAATATTTATTATTTAACTCAAAACAAATAAGCTATCAAGTCACAAAAAGGCATGAAGGAAATTCAAATATATATATGACCATTTGAGAGAAGCCATGGCCAGGTGTGATGCCTCATGTCTGTAATCCTGGCACTTTGGGAGGCTGAGACAGGCGAATCGGATAAGTCCAGGATTTTGAGAGCAGACTGAGCAACATGGCGAAACCCTGTCTCTATTAAAAATACAAAAAGTTAGCTGGGCATGGTGGTGCATGCTATTCCAGGGGCTGTGGTGGGAGGATTGCTTGAGCCTGGGAGATGGTGATTGCAGCGAGCCAAGATCATGCAACTGAGTGACAGAGTGAGACGAAAGAGAAAGAAAGAGAGAGAGAGAGAGAGAGAGAGAGAGAGAGAGAGACAGAGAGAGAGAGACAGAGAGAGAGAAAAGACAGAAAGAAAGAAAGAAAAAAAGAAAGAAAAAGAAAGAAAGAAAGAAAAGAAAGGAAGGAAGAAAGAGAAAGAAAGAAAGGAAAGAAAGAAAGAGGAAAGAAAGAGAAAGAAGGGAGGGAAGGAAGGAAAGGAAAGGAAGGCAGGAAGTCAGGCAAGAGAAAGCAAGCAAGCAAGAAGGAAGGAAAGAACAAAAGGAAGAAGAAAAAAGACAGAAGAAAGAGAGAGACAGAAAGAGAGAAATCAGTCTGAAAAAGCTACATACTATATGAATCCAATTATACGACATTCTGAAAAGCCAAACCACGGAGATAGTAAAAAAAAAAAAAAAAAAAAAAAAAAAAAAAAGTGGCTGCCAGAGATGAGTGGGAAAGGAGGGATAAACAGAAGCAGCATAGGGCAGTGAAAAAATTGTACTCTAAGGGTAGCTATGTGCCATTATACATTTGTTCAAACCCAGAGAATGTACAATACCTAGCATGAAACCTAATGTAAACTATAGAATTTGGGTGCTAATGACGTATCTATGTAGGTTCATCAGTTGTCACAAGTGTACTGCTCTGGTGGGGGATGCTGATAATGAAGGAAGTTATGTATGTGTAGGAGCAGGGGATAGGTGAGAAATGTCTGTAGCTTCTGCTCAATTTTACTGTAAAGCAATTACTGCTCTAAAAAACAAAAATCTATTTTAAAATGAAATACACACCTTATTCATAAAATCTGCTGCTTATTTATGACAATGGAATATGAAAAATGGAAAACTGAATAAGACCAGAAATTTAGTATCTATCTTAGATGACTAGAAGAAATGATACTTTCAAACATAAGTATTTTTAGTATTGGTGATACTGAAAAGCTGGAAGTGGAAAACTTCTTTGCTAGTGTCAATGTAGGTTGCTTACTGGCTGGTCGGTTCGGTTGATCCCAATCAGGAAGAGCAGCTCTGCTACAAAGAGACTGATACAGAGGTTCTTGTGGATGGTGTTACGGTCACTCTGGAGCCCGCGGAAAAAGCAAAATGTGAAGATGCAAATCAGGAGACAAACAAGGGACAGCAAAATTCCAACCCACGTGATCACATCCAGAAGGAGGTCATGGACCGCATCACTGTGCTGGAAACACAACAGAAAAGCCATAAGTTGCGTGTATACATAACCAATTACAATGTTTTATAAGGGCCTGGATTCAGAAAGCATGATGGTAATAATCCTCAAAATATCCTTTATACCCACAATGAATAAAGTAACTTAATAATTTGAGTTTTCTCTTCCACAGATAAAGCATTTTTTCTTTTCTGTGAGGTGTAAATCAGTTTGATATTCAGAGATGCCAATAGTATTTGCTTCTTTCTTAGCTACAAACATTTTCAGAATATAAGTAGTTAAAGCAGATCGACTGAATTCTGGCCAAAGATTTCAAGGTAAAACATTTTATTTTTTAAATTTTATCACTTTTTTAGACTAATTTTCAGATCATCTCCACTAGGGAATACTATCTAAAATTTTAATCTTTACACTTGGGGAAGTTTTATCTCAATTTATTTTTGAATCATCTAAGGGTTTTAAAATTAAAAATGCAATTCCTTTATCCTGAAAATCCTGTATAATAATTTCCAAGGTTGTGTCATATAAGTATGTATTTTCATAAAGATCTCCAGTGAATTCTGATGAATAGCCACACATGTGTACCCTTTATTTTGTGGGCAGATCAAAAAGAATGAGGATATTCATTGGATTTATATTCATATTGAATGGCTTAAAGAGATCAGCAAGTTTCATCTTTGAAAAGTTTTGTGTGAATAGAGCCTGTTATACATTGACAGAAAATAAATATTCAGAATTGCTATACTAAACAGTGGCATATAGCAGGCAATAGAGCTAAGAAACAAGAAAAAGTTCATGAAAACTTCTGTACTGAAACATATGTTTTGGTTCTGTTAAAATAGTCCGGTAAGCTCTAGGTCTGCCATGTTCCTTAGTTGTCAACTACTTCATTTATGTCCTTGTTCTAAGATTCAGAACTCTTATTTCCACCCTATGGTATTTTGTCCCTACCCTAGATAAAGCTTCTGTGAAACTTTAGAATTTATAGAGGCCCAACAAATAAGCATATAAACATGTTGAAGCAAAGTTGACAAATTGTCTATGACTGTCAATTCTCTTCCTTCAAGGTTTTTGGACGAGCCCTAAATATCTAACTTCTCTCAGTAGCAGAATGGATAAACGAATGGATAAAAGGTGAATTTGTACAATGACATTTTAAAGAGTAGTAGAAAATCAATATACTATATTTACAGTCACAAACATGGATAATATACAAAAATCTAGTATTCATTTTTAAAAAGCAAACATCAAAAGGATCTACACAAAATGACAACATTTTTGTAAAATTTTAAAAGATGAAATCAATGGCATTGATATTTTCTGGATATATGCAAAATTGGTAAAAGTATAAATATGTGCATGGAAAAATTTTGAGTTGACAACACAGAATTGTCTTTCTAATTGATACCTTTCTCAACTATATAGATCATACAGACTGACTTTTGTTTTAGGATAGAAGTTGCCACATTTAGTTGGCTTCACAGTAAGTCCAATTTTCACATACATAAATATTCAGATTTTCCAAACACTGCCTGTTCTCACTTATAATCAGGAACTAAACACTGAGTATTCTCGGATATAAATGTGGCCACAATAGAAGCTAGGCACTACCAGAGGTGGAAGGGAGGGAAGGTGGGGTGTAATGGTAGAAAAACTATTTGTCACTATGCTCACTCAATACCTGGGTGATGGGATCATTCATATCCCAAACCTCAGCATCACACAATACATCTATGTGTCAAACCTGCACATGTACCCCATGAATCTAAAATAAAAGTTGAAAAAATAAAGAATTTTAAAGGTAGACATTTGAAAAAAACATATATCCAGGTTTTCTTCTTCCTTTTTTTTTTTTTTTTTTTTTTTTTTTTTAACTTTATCCTTTCAAAGATTTTTTCTGGAAGTGGAAATTCTTAGAAGTGAGCCACCATGCTGTAATCTGAATCATAGAACTCCTCATGCTGCCAGATACAACTTCACAGTTGTTATTTGATGAAGACCTCCACTAGAACACTGTCGATCAAACAGTTTTGAAATATTCCTGCATAACTATTGATATATTTCTCAGAAGGAGCTCAAGTCATGAAAGAAAACCACATGAAATTTTGCTTGCACTGCTTTGTTCTCCAGGGGATACTACAAAAGCAGCGTTAGGTTTGCGGCAGTTGAAATTACTTTGAATGTTTGAGAGTGGAGAGTGGTTAGTGCTACCTGGTTCCCTAAATAGAGGGCTATTTGCTCTCTTCTTTGACTCAAAGGAAAGATGCTGTGATTGAGTATCAAACACCAACGTTTAGCACAGCAGTCTTTCATAATGGAAAAATGGTAGGTATAACACCATCTCAAATGTATACAAAAGACCTATAGCATCCTTTTAAAAAAAAAGAACAAAACAAGAAAAAAAGAGAAAAGAAATCAAAGAACTGCCACTTTTATGTGGGTAAGTGCATTATTAGAAATATATTTATTTTACTCAGTCCCTAGTAGGCTCTTCAAAAACCCCATGCAGAGTTAATAAGAGAAGAATATCAGATTTTGAAATGTCAGTGGCAAAAATTTGCAACTCTCAAACACAGACCAAAAAAGCCTAGTAAATAAGTCACCTTTTAGGTATGACTGTTCAGCCAGGAAAACATCAACACCATCACCTATATGTCAAAGACACTGGGATGGCAGCACTCATCAAATACAACTCAATAGTTGAATTTTAGCAGTAACTTGAAAGGGAAAGAACAATGGTGAATTAGTCCATGTCCACACTGCTTATAAAGACATACCCAAGACTGGGTAATTTATAAAGGAAAGAGGTTTAATGGACTCACAGTTCCACTTGGAGGTTTCACAACCATGGCAGAAGGCAAAGGGGGAGAAAGACATGTCTTACGTGGCAGCAGAGCAAGAGAGAGTTTGTCCAGGGGAATTCCCATTTATAAAACCATCAGATTTCATGAGACTTATTCACTACCATGAGAACAGTATGGGGGAACTGCCCCATGATTCAATTATATCCACCTGCCTCCACCCTTGACACGTGGGGATTATTGTAATTCAAGGTGATATTTGGATTGGGACACAGTCGAACCACATCAAGTGGACATTAAATGTAAATAACAGATGTAAATATGAAGAACCTTGTTTTTAATTAACAGTCTGCCATCGTAGAACTTTTGGAAGGGGATCCGTGGGTAGAAAAAACAAACTCCTTTGTAGAGGATGGCCAATTGAATTAAACTCCTGAGTATAGTTGTACCAATGTGATAATGCAACAAGGATTCCTATTTCTGAGATTGCATGTTTATGAACACTACATAACTCAATCATCTATAACACAAACTATATACCATTAGGTACCTTAAAAGCAGGAGTTATAACAATTTTATTAATATTACATCCTAGCACCTAGTACTGTGCTTGACATTAAAAACAAAGCCTTAAACATATTTGGTTTTGAATGATTATAATCCCACTTCTATTAGACTAAACGCCTTAGAGTTGAACCCACTCATGCCAGTACAGCTTTAGCACCCATTTAATCTCCCCTTGGATATTTATCAAGGTATCACATATTATACATCCAAAACAGCTTCTGATCTTATCCTATTCTGCCCTCCTGCCTCCAATCTGCTCTTCCTTCTGTTTTCCTAATTTTAGCAAATAGCAACTTAATTATTGAAAATGTTCTGGCCAAAAACTCAGGAGTTACATTGATTCCTCTATTTTTTTTTTCACACACTGCATTTAATCCATCAGGAAATCTTATAGGTCTTTACCCTCTAAGTCTGATAGGTTCTTATCACCACCGCACCAACTTGGATGGAGCCATCTGATTGTTTTTGAAGAGCCTCTTAACTGATCTCCCTACTTTGGTCCTAATCCCACTTCTCTATATTTAGCAGAGCAAAGAGATTCTTTTTAAATATAAGTCACAGGACATCACTCCTCTAATCAAAGCCTCCAATGACTCCCACTCAAAGAACATAAAGCTGAGTCTCTACAAAAACCTTACACAGCCCTAAGATCTGCACCCCTGTGACACCACTTCCTATTCTCCCCTTCCTTCAGTTCATTCCACCTCCACTGGCCTTCTTTGAATGGGTCAGGGGTATTTCAGGCCCAAGGTCTTTGCATCTGATGTTCCTTTGGCCTGGAATACTCTTCCAAAAGATATCTGTATGGTTTACTTGCCACCCGCCTTTTGTTATTTATTCAAATGTCACCATCTCACAGAGGGTTTTCTCTGAGTCATTCTATCTAAAATTACAGGCACCTTTTCCATATTCTGATTCCTCTCTATTGCTTTTCTTGCATTATTTTCTCCTTATTCCTTATCACCTACCTGAACTGTATATTTTAATATTTTTCACAGTTATTTTCTTTGGCCACCCACCCCCCAACAACTAAAAGAAAGTTCTAAGAGAATAAGATGTTTCATCACTTCTGATCACCAATCCTCCAGCTCCTGAAGAAATATGTAGGATAGAGTAGCTGTACAATTAATTTGTTGATTGAATAAATAACCTCTTTTTAATCATCTCTCTCTTCTACAATAGATTTTGATTCAAACTCCAAGCTGTGTCATGCTGCCCACAAAACAGTACTTAGGACTCTTCCTCTTAAATCACCAGCTCTAAAATGTTGAGTAAAATATTTAATAAATTAGAGCTAGAGAATAAGAAGGTTGTTACATCATAATACCTTATGATATCCTGTAATGTCAAAGTGTCAATTATAAAAATGAAGACAAAAGTACAGATGTAAATAAGAGTACTCTGGATTAATTCTTGGAGTCTAAAGCCTTGAATTGAATCTCGTCACTTCAACTTAGTCATTGTTACTTTTAACAAAGTACTAAATCTCTTTGAGTATTGGTAACCTTATCCACATAGCAGTAAAATAGGTGAGGCTTCAGGATATAGTGATAAGTAATTCCCATAATATATGTGAAAGTAACAAAGCAAGTATTTCTTTCTTTTTTTATCTGAATATATTCTGAATTTTTCATTTTCAAT